AACCGTTCACATCTTTACAAAGTTCCTGAGAAATTTCAAGCGATGCCAGACGGAGACATAGCGGAATCGAAGGTCACTGCTCAAACTCTACTCCCCACCAGGAAACCTGCTGAGGAGACACTCTAGGTGCCCCCTGAACCTTCAGCGTTGCAATAACCAGATGTTTCGCAGCCAGATTTACAGCCAGCTTCGCCAAGTGTTCCCGCCCCTGTCTCTACCAGAAGTGGCAGGATTGTTAGGAGACCTGCTTACCTCAGGCATTTCACCACCTAGGAATCCAGTGTAAAGGCTTTTCAAACAGTTCTGAACAGTGAACACTGTTGGATTGCTTTGTTTAATCCTTGTCCTTCCGTTCATTGCCTACTTTACCGTCCCTTCATTACTTTGTTTTGTTTGTTCAAGAAGGGAGATGTATCCCGGATTTAGTTGTTGTTGTATTACGGCGAGTAATGGCGGGCTTTCATGAGCTTTATTAAAACCGTTGTGTTATCATCGTTTGGTCTCGTTTAGACTACGCTACACTTCTAACACACGTAAAGCGGATTACATGTCCAATGACATACTTCCTTCATTGTGATTTGATGGACAAAGATCAGAATTTGTTCAACGGCAAAAAGTCAGACGTCTTAGCACGGTTTGATGTCAGAGTTCAACCCCTTGAAAAATTTAGCTATAATTCTTCTCTTCAGCAGGTGTTGCATGACTGTTCAACTGACGCCTTTGTAAATAGTATCACTATTAGCGTCAGAGATGAAAACGGCGAACTCTTTGATCTGAATGGTTCCCTTTCTGGAAATTGAATTTGAATTAGAAATAAATTAAATTCCTTTTTATACAATGTCGTCTGCGAATGTCTTGCCGTCCGCTCCTCCTGAACCTTCACCGCAGCCCCTCTACCCCCAACTGCAGCCCGACTTCCAGCTGTAGAAAATCAATGAGATTTCAATCGCTCTGAACAACGAGGTCACCCACTATCGAGTGGTTGCGAAAAAATATAAACGCGCGAAAAAGTTCGTTAACTGGAGCGCTGGCTGCTCTAGAGTGCTATCAGCAGCTCTATCCAGCGTCAGCTTAGGATCAGCTTTGTCTGTGGTTGGCTTACCCGCCACAATTCCATTAGACGGCGTAGGGGGTTGTGCATTGCTCGCTACGGTCACTCTAGGTTATAATTTTTTTTTGATAGACTCAGTTGAGCATTTACCCAACTTATTGTTGTCATGTGTGTGTATTTGTGTGTGTGCATGTTCGTAGCGTAACCTTTCACATTTATTGATGTAACTGATTACAATATGGTCAATAAAGGTTGTAAAAAAAATCATGGTGTGAAATAACTACATACATTTTTATGTCTTTGTCTTATCAGAAGCATCACGTTGCCCGAGTAAGTGGGGATGCTCAAAAAACGCTGTGTGCATGGTCGATCCTTTCTTTCCTGATAGAAAACGTTGCGATTGTATTCCAAGCTTGCCGAAGAGAAACGCGGTTGGAAAGTGTGTAGGTGAGTGATTTCCTTACAGTGGGAAACTGCAGTGATAAGGTATCTATTTGTTGGTCTTGATGGCTCGGAAATTGGCGCTTTTCGAAGCGATTCCTCTAGAGGAGTACAAGGCCTGTGACAACATCTGACGGGGCTGCAGTACAGCAACATTCCACACTGAATTTTGTTTTTTTTTTTCTTTCCAATTGGATAAACAGTGGCGATGTTGGGTGAAAGATCATGCTGAAGCAAAGAACAATAAAGGTTTTGGTGGACTGTAACACCCAGGACGTTTGAGAAACACAGCCCGGTTGGAGCCCTGGCCGGGGTCAACGCGCTGTGTCCTTGCCCTAGCTCAGAGTTACTTTCACAATGCATCCGGCTCTCCATCTAAGTAACGAGTAGTTACAGTTGAAATTAATGCTGGAAGTTCTTCTTGGTTGGGGTATGGGGGTAAGTGAGGGAGTAGAAATACTCCTAGTCAATGAGGACGCTTAATACTTCAAAAACCAAGATAAGCTCCAATGTGTATGGACCACTAGTTCCAGTGCAGAGTCCTCACTTAGTTTTCTCCACGTACCTTGGAATAATCGTTCAATATTCTTATTTGTTCTAGAATGCGTTAAGGATGCGGACTGCGTGAAGGACTATCTCTTATGCAAAGCAGAAAAGTGCACATGCAAGGACACACTTGCAATGCAACGTAACGCACAATGCATGTGCAAGGACGGACTTGCAATGGGCCAAAACAAACCATGCGAACCTGGTAAGAACGTCACACAATGAACGCCATGAACAGAAACGTTATGATATCAATAGTAATGATACCACTGTTTTGTGGTAAATAAAACCCTCCACTAGGCTCAAAACAAACTCCAGCAGTTAGACTTGATGGGTCATTAAAACCACTCTATCATCTGATGCTATAATCGTAATATCAAAAAACTGCTCAATCATTGGTGAACACCTTTTTATCATTTTCGTGACGCAACAGGTTACCACAGCAACAGTATGATCTGCTAAAAGCACCCTTAATCACAGCTTTAGGGGATTATAATTCAAAAACGGCACTGTGAGATTTTTTACGTCATCAAATTTTAATAAGCATGATAAGACGCAACTTTTGACAAAGTGTTAAAAAAAAAAAACAGCACATAGCGTTCAGAGCCACCTTAAAGTTTTGAAGATTTAAGGTGGCTCTGAACCCTAAGTACAGCGGGTGGCATATCTCCAGCCAGGTCTGTCGCTGGCCTGTTGCTGACATGGGAAAGTACAGTATATGGTGGCAGATGGACCAAAGCAAGCTGGTCCGGGTATTTAAGCTCTCCAGCTTCAGACACGTTAACAATTCATTATGCACTCGCAAGTTACAAAACTTCACAAAGCCTGAAGATTCACAACTTTAAAAAAAAGTACGCTTTGATAATGAGGATGGAATTTGGCAGACGAAATTTTGTTCTGGGATGTTTTGCACAAATCTTGAACAGCGATAGGATTCTAGCTAAATAATTTCTCGTTCAGTTCACGCACTAAGTCAATAAACTCATGAAGTTCGCATTTGATTCTTGTAGGGCCTCTACATCCATGCCAAGCTGACAAAGATTGCGATTCTCGGGCGAAGTGTGACATAGGAAAGTGCTTTTGTCTCGGAAATAGCACCGGAAACGGGAAGTACTGCAGAGGTAATTATTATGTATCATTCAAATCTAAGGCCCGGTCTACACTACACTGGAGGAATTTGAAAACGGAGGCTTCAGTCTGAAAACGTTTGTTTTTCATGTACACTACGCCGAACGAGTTTTCAAACGCAACAATCACCGGTCATTTGGGTTTCTGTTTGCGCAAAACACGGACAGGGAAATCGCATGAAATCACTTATCGTGACACCATCGTTTTCGAAAAGCTCCTTTCTCAATTTTTTTTTTTTTTTTTTTTTTTTNTGGAAGAGCGTTTTCGAAAAGCTCAGTTTTCGTGACGGATTGCCCAGTATGTTAGCAGGTTTACATAGTCAAATGTCTCACTCGCTTCACATAGCGTCAAATGGCCCATTCCCTCTACCCGCCGGCAGGGAACCACATTGGTAGTGGTATTCATCAAAACAAATATTCAGTCCAAACTGATGAATACAGCTACTATGATTCCCTTCAGGCGTCCCCCCACAAGACTGTTTAAGAAAAAAGAATCACCCACAAGAAACAAAGAAAATCCAAAGAATACTTTTTTCATGTGGTACTGTAGTCCTGCTGTGTTTACATTTGAGCTTTTACCAAGGTAAACAGTTACTAAGGTCAAGTTTCTTAACCTTGGTACATTCGTCCAGTGTTTATACCTGGTCAAATAACTCAAGTTGATCTTTCAACAGTCGCGCGCGCTACATTATCAACGTCATGAAATTCGAACTTGGACGGGGATCCCACCGCAGCGGAACAGGAGCAAATTGAGGTGCCATCATTTTCATAGGCGAGGACCTCATTCCATAATATTGCGGCGACAATTCAGCTGCTTTATCATACCCAGAGTATGCATGGTTATATGCAGCATCCTCCCTGGTGGCAAAATATATCGACAATAATTACACAACAAAGGACCGAACTTTGTCTAGAGAAAGTTGTAAATAATACTGAGAATGAAAAATACAATGCTTTCTTTTACGTGACGGATTGTTCGCCGTAAGAAGATCGATCCAATCTTTCCACGTTATCTGCCATGRTAACCTAGTCAAAACTGGAAAAGAAACGCTTTGCTTTGTCGGCAATTGCACAATCTGCTCACCGCGGGAAGTGATATATTACGCCGCCACAAGCGGATATATCTGTCATCTTGACCTTGGTTACCAACTGTAACCATGCCTGATCACAGGGTAATTACAACTTTTACCTTGGTTAAATTTCTTTTGTCTTTTGCGGCATTTACCAAAGTATCAGTTGGCGTTTACACACGGAAAATGTTTACCAAGGTAAGTAAACTCTGGTACCTCGGTAAACCGTTCAAGTCTAAACACAGCATTAGTTATCTTCTCACGCCTCCTTTTCTTTGTCTTTTCGTAGTCTCACTGCCATGCCCCGCGGAACACCAGTGTGATGAGAATTTTAAATGCGTTGTTGATCCCCTGATGCCAGACAAACCACATTGCGTATGTCTCGACGGTTTTAGAAAGACTGCCGACGGAATGTGCGTTGGTAAGTTGCCTGACAGAAACAATACTCAATAATACTGTGTTTGTTCGTAAGATAAAAAGGAAGCAGCTGAAAGGTCAATTTATTGAGAAACTCATACTCATGCTCAATTTTGCATTGGGGCTAGGAGCGAACTTGTAATTCCTCTTGCAAATTACCAAAAATATTCTGACCAGGAATTCCGAGAAATTGTTGTTGCCTCAAGTCAAGACCTCTTATCTCATATTCAATGACTTTTTTTTATCTGATTTGAAGAAAAAAATTGATTTTGATTACCCTTGAGTCTCAGATTCTAACAAATCACTTTGTCGTTTTCTTCAGAAATAACTGAGTGTTTCAGACAACAAGGTCAGGATTGCGCCATTGATCAAATTTGCGGCAAAGTCTCTAACGGTTCTTATGACTGCATTTGCCACAAAGGTTATGAAATGATCACTTCAGGAGGAAACAGCACATGCCAAGGTAACAATTTACAGTCAAGGTTAATAAATTAGCATGGGGAGAAGTAACTCAGCGTGAATATTTTTGACATTTTTCCAATGATTTAATGACAGCTTGGCAAGATATATTCTCAAACTCAGTAATAACTCATCATGTTTCAACAAAGGAAATCATGACTGTGACAGTGTTTGGATATCTGATGTTAATTAGCATAGATTTTTATGATTTTATTTCTCCATTTTCTCCTTAGTTTTAGTTTCGATTAAGAAGATACATCAAACACTCGAGGCAGTGTTTCATCGGCTATCTAAACACCCAGAATTTCGTCAAAAATACTCCCCTGCGCGCCGCATTTTTAACTCTCTTCTAGGAGTTTCGAAATGTGGCCAAATACGGTCTTTTGTACTTGATTTAGTACTAAACACGATATTTGTTTTCTGTTGACACAGATGCTGATGAATGCAGCGATCCAGAAAAATGTCCAGCAAACTCTGTCTGTGTAAACTCCGAAGGTAGTTACGACTGTGAATGCAGTGAGGGGTACACGAGGAATGACAATGGCGTCTGCCAGGGTAAGTGAATGTGTTTCACTTTAATGATCCCCTTCACTACTCTAGCTGCTGCAGATTATTAAATAAAAGTTCAAAGAAACACTTACCGACAGTTTGCTGCAAGGAAAAGCATTTGGAAAATTAAACACAAGTTAATTTGGTCCTATTGTCTAGAGGATAAAGAAAAGAAATCGAGTCATCAAAATGCTACTTCAGACGACGTGATCATGTGTTTCTTCCCCGCCGAAAAAAACGAAATCACCACAAAATCAAATTTTACTTCAAAACAGTGAAGAAACAGGCTCTCCACGAATATGCCTCTGCCCATCCCATAAATCTATTTAGTTTGTTTTAAAAAAGTCAATCACAATTGTTAAGTTTTGGGAGTTTTGTAAAAGAGAATTTTCGGATGACGTCACGGCAGCCATATTGATGTCCCAAAACAACGAAACGGCGGCCATGTTGGTGTTCCAACCAATCCTGTGGGAGTTGAACTCTTTAATTAGGTAAACACCTTCATTTCCTCCAACAAATTTAAATTTGCATGGCTGCTAGCCGCTTGAGTGAAAACGCTCTGATTTTCATTGCAGATGTGGATGAATGCTCTGAAATTGCGAGTCCATGCGGTGCCGCGGAGAAATGTGTGAACGTGCCGGGAAAGTTCTCTTGCGAGTGTGAACAGGGATACTCTAAGAAGGACGGAGCATGCGTAGAGGGTAAGCTTTTGATGAAATAATCCTTGATTTGCACCTTGAAGGAATCGCAAGACCATAGACGAACACAAGCTTGTTATTCCGCGAATATGCTGTTTTGATATTCGCTTGAATATATACTGGATTAAAGCTTTCTTAATTCATTGCATGGATCGCTGTGCGCTGTTGAACCCCTGCCAACATAATGCCTGTGGTGAAGTTTTTCCTGCCAGACTGACAATTACATAAGCTCTTGGGAGGACACTCAAGCTCTAAGTTAATATTCGTTTTGCAATTAAATTTCCTTAAATGTTTCTTAGACGAATGCAACTGCAAAAAACATGAAGTATGCTCTGAAGGAAAGTGTAAATGCAAGAAGGCATACAAGAAGAACAAAAAGGGACACTGCGTTTCTCGAATCAGTAAGTTGTGTATGGTAATAGGGAGCTTAAGAAATAAATAAATAAATAAAGTGTCTTTATTGTTCAAAAGATAAAATTACATATCTTGTGTTACATTTAAAAATAATAATGTTAATGGGCTACAATATGTCTCTAAATAAGATAGATATTTACATGGAAACAAATACAAAAATCGAATACAAAAAGTACACTATTTACAAAGTTACATTGTACTTAAAAACTATCCTATTAAAGAATGTATTCTGGAAACGGTCCGAGTGAATGTCGGGCATTGCGGAAGATTTATTCCTTAAGTTGTATCTTGTAATCTTAGTCTCAGGGAAATTAGCTCTAAGTGGGTGGTTCGGGATATTAGAAACCTTCC